ATAAAAAGCAATGGAAAATATCCTTGCTTGAGGATTAAAAAAAAAAAAAAGGAGACTAAAAAAGTGAAAGCCTTAGCTTGGCTCCCGTACCCCTTTTCAATCCCCTGATCCTGTCTTCCTACTGTTAACAGTTTGGTGTATATAAGTATTTCTAAAGTTTTTTAAAACTGTATCATGGGCATTTTGCATGTGTTACTAAATCTCTAATGCCTGATATTTTCCCTCTGTACTTTTTCCTTCCCAGGTGCACAATCTTTACAGTTGCATAAAAGTAGCAGAAGATTTTGTATCTCCAGAACACGTAAAGCACTGTTTCCGCCTAACGCAGGAATTCAGGCATCTCTCTAACACTCATACAAACCATGAGGATAAACTGCAGGTAAATTGCTCCTCCTTCACCCCCACTCTGTCTTCTCGTCTCCTACTTGGCTACATACACAGGAGGCACATTCTGTTTCCTGAGGGCCTTCTCTGGGAGGTAAAACTGTAGAGAGGTGATAAAGGGAACCATGGCTGGGGGTATGGAGTCCTCCTCCCAGGAAGTATTTAATCAGTTCTCCTCTGGTTTGGTGTAGAGAATACTCATGTTTTAACCTAATCATTTATGGTGTAACAGTCTTCTCTTTCTCTGCCCCTGGGAGATAGAATGTTTCAGTGTTAGTAACTGTGACTAGACTGACTTCCCCAGTCAGGTGGGAAAAGCACTGTGACTGTTCTGAAAATGTTTCCAAGAAGGGATATTTCTCTGAAGCAGCTTCTCACAGCAAATTTCTGTGCAGACTCAATTCCTTAGAGCTCTGCTAGGGACTGCAGTCCATGGCCCTGAGAGCAGTGGGGATTGTTTTCCCCTTATAGATCTAAGCCGGACAATCAGATCAGGTTTTTCTCTACACCTGAAGTGGATTTGAACTTTAAAGGCAGAATTTTACTGTTAATGCACTTGGGTGCTTTAGTAGTATATAAGAAGTAAGAATAAAGAAGCAAGATTGTCCAGGCAGAACTTCAGCAATCTGAGTACACAGCCCAGCCTGTCACCTGTGGCCCATTTTGCTCGATCATGCCTGTGGCTCAGGTGTGTCTCCTTTGGTCAATGACCAATGAGGTTGGAGATTTTTTTTTGGTTGCTAGTAGATTCAGTCACCTTCAGTCTTGTTCCTTTTTCAAAATTAAAGAACATTTCAACTGTGAAATTCTGATACAAAGTACATTCACATTGATAAATAAATAGGTAATATCGACATTATAGACGTAGTGCCGATATTCAGGCATACGTACTTCAGACCCCACGTCCATTGTGTCTACTTCTAACAGGTCACCTCCAGCACTTCCCATCCTCTGTCACTGCTTTATTTCTTCCTATTGTATTTTTTACTATCTAACATACTTTGTGTTTTATCTGTTGGTTTCTATCCCTACTAGAATATAAGCTACTTAAACTCTACAAGGTGGAGATTTTACTGTTTAATTCACTGCTTTTCCCTAGCCAATATTGGACGTATAGTAGGTACTCAGTAAATATTTGTTGAATTAATACAAAAAATTTAGTGGAAACCAGCTGGTGTGATTCAGTGGTTGGGTGTCCACCCATGAACCAAGAGGTCGCCCAGTTCTATTCCGGGTCAGGGCACATGCCTGGGTTGTGGGCTTGATCCCCAGTGCGGGTAGTAGCCCATCGATGATGTTTCTCTCTCATCAGTGTTTCCCTTCATCTCTAAAAAAAATCAGTAAAAACGTATTTAAAAAAAACAACAAAAAACTTAGTGGAGAATAGCACAAGGGAACTTGTGTGCACATCACACAGCTTAAGAAATGGAACATCGTATATGTACATACACATATGTCTCCATGTACTCTTCCCGTTCCCTCTCTCCACTTTCCTTCCCCAGAAATAATCACCATCTTGGTTTAAAACTGTCTTTAGGCAATTCACTTTCTTTTAATAGCTTTTACTATATCTTCCTACTTCACACATAATATGTGTTCTTTTAGACAGATTAGAAAATACATATAAGAACAAAAGGAAAAAGTACCCGATAACCCTACGTGCTCACTTGGTTTGCATGCATTCTTAATCACTGCAGGACCTGGGCAAAGTTGTTGACCATGGCACCTGATTTCCTTAGTTTCCTACTGTAAATCGAGGAATAATAATACAATCTATAGATGAGACTGACGAATGTCAGGGATGGAGGAGGGCGGGTGGGTGGAGAGGGAGAGAGTAACCAAAGAATTTATATGCATATATGCACAACCCAAGGACACAGACAATGGTGGGGAGAGGGACTGGGGAGGGGGAAGGGACGGGGTGGAACAGGTCATTGGGGAGAAAAAGGGACATCTGTAATATTTTAAACAAAAATAAAAATTAAAAAAATAAAATAAAATCAATAAAAACATTAAAAAAATAAAAAAATACAATCTACCTCACAGGGTCATAGTAAGAATTAAATGGAAATCCACATAAAGAGCTTTTAGCAGTAGTGCCCAGCACATAGTAAGCACATAGATGGTGGTGATTATATGACCTTTCAAATGATTTCATCATTCTTAATATAGACGTTGTATCCTTTGTGACTTGTAAATCAGCTTTGGGTTGGATTTGGGAAGTACGCAGTCCTGGTTGAGGGGTTTCCTCATAAGCAATTGGCTTACAGGCAGCATAGAACATACATTTTCATTTGCAGAAGACAACATAGGGCTGCCGTGAACTGACTGTGCTGTCTCCTCTCTCCAGGTGAAGAACATCATTTATCACGCTGTGAAAGATGCTGTTGGCACCCTCAAGGCTCATGAATCCAAACTGGCAAGGTCTTAGGCATGGAGGAAGTCCAAACTCCCCTGTGAAGCAGGTCTTTCACTCACACACCTACGGGAACGGCAGGGTTCTCTGCTGGAGCGGAGGCGCTTCACTCAGAGCCAGTGTGGTCAGTATTACAAACTCCAGCCTCTCTTCTCTACGCTGCCTCAACACTGAAGGTTGACACAGGAAAGTCGCACTGTTCACACACAGTTTCAGACTCCAAGCCGAGGGTGCCACATTCCTATCCTGCGGCCTTCTGGGACTCTGAATTGCCTGAACATCACTGGGCTTTCCTGCAGTCTTGTGATCTGGAATATGTGGAAACCAGGAACGTGGGCACGACTTTCTTTTTTTTTTCTCTCGTGCCTAGTTAATTGGGAGTGTTTGGAGGTATGGGGAATCACATAACTGGTACAACTTAGGGGCTAATTGCTTAAACATGCCTGGTGGAAGCCTGACAGTGTCTCTGCACGTGACCTCTGACACAGCCCATCCCAGGAGACAGGGTGAAGCCATTCCCCACAATCTCTCCCATGAACACTGGAGTCTTGCAGGACCCGGGGAGAACCCGCTGCTTTTCCCAGGAGGCTCCAGGATTAGGAAACGTGTGTATTTAGTGAAAAATAGGTTTGTAGTGAAATAGTTACTATTTCATGAAAGTAGATATTTTTAGAACTTTTGAAATACCACAGTTGTTTTCCTGGATTATGAGGAAAGGCACATTACATTTAGTCTTCCTTTCAATAAAACTTCTTTGAAGAAATACGATTTTTAGAAATCAACTGTCCATTATAGCACAAAATCAGCCAAAGCAGAATTTAAAAGGATTGGCTTTTTAGGGTTCTTTTAGTTTCTCCCCCTCCCATCTCAGTCCTATCAATCTTGAGGGAACAGCCATCTGAGAAAGAACTTTGTCATGTCTGAGCTGTGGTGTGTCCCACACATACACACACTGGTGACTCCAGGAACCATTTCCACCTATTACCAGCGTTCCCTTGGGACTTCTCTTAACAGTTCCAAATTCGAAGGAAAGTTTGATTTTCCTACATGAGGCTTTTTGTTTTTTGGGTTTTTTGTCCAGAAATATTTCCAGCAAAACTTTCCAACTCAGTGGAGTTTTATTAAGAATTTATTGGAAAATAATGGAATTTGTTGGCCCATGGGTACATTGGAAAATGTATCTGTCTTCTTTCCGCTGTACTGTAGTGCCTGCAGGCTTGTTTATATGTTCACAGTTCCTTTTTTTTTAAATAAAAGTCATTTACTGTAGAATACTTTTAATTTCACTTTCTGTATTTTAATTTTGTTGAAGGGCTGATTGGGATTTCCATGTTCTTATTAAAAATCTAACAAATCTGTTTGGAGTGGACTAAATTCTTTGCCAGCCATTCTAAAAAGCAAAGTCAGGAAGAGGGTGGGGTTGGAAGTAGAGGGTGGTTCGTTTTCAGATCTTCATTATTTTGCTGCATCTGATTATTACCCTTTGCTTCCAAATTTGTTCCCTATTGGGAGAGGGAAGTGCCAGGTCATTGTGGTTTGAGGGCTTGGGGGTTAGAGGAAAGGAGCCACGTAAGTAAGAGGATGGGAGGAGAGATATGTTTCCCATAGTTTTTACTCAGTGAATGGAGTGGGAAAAGTGGGGTCCTACCTTCCTGGGGCAGTCTTGGGGGGAACTCATGGAGGGTGGCCCGAGCAAGGTTTTGGGCAGTCAGTGGTGGAGTTCCTCAGAGCAGGAGGCCTGGCTGCCCACATGAAACATGTGGCTCCAGATTCACCTTGGAGCTGGTGGGAGAAGACCCAAATGGGGGCCCTAGCCAGGTAGTTCAGTTGGTTAGATCATTGTCCTGCCTCACCCAGGTTGCAGGCTCAGTCCCCAGTGAGGGCACGTGTACGAGCCAACCAATGAATGCATAAATGAGTGGAGCAACATGTCAGTGTTTCTTCTCCCTCTCTCGAACGTCAATCAAAATAAAAAGACCCAAATGGAATTTATTTTTATCAAGCAGCAATGCAAGTGGCTTGAAGACTTAGGACAGACTATGCTCTAATTAGAAAAGGTCTTTTGAAGAGGAAGTTGAAAAGAATAGCAAGAGGGGTCATCAGAGGCCACTTCTCTGGAGCCTGTTGGAAAATATCTTCCAAATAAGCCTGGAAATACAATTATCAGGGTGGAAATAGGTCACTGTGTGGTTCAAAGATACTGAGTTTGAATAGGACCATAACAAATACAGAGCTCTGAGCACGTCCTTTCTGCCCCATGGGCACAGGTGGATGCTGTGATCACCAGGAGGATGACACCTCCACATAAAGGGTAGACGAATGCAGAAGCTTTGAAATAGGAAAGGAAAGGAAAACAAAGGGGAAAGGGGAGTTGTGGCGGTTGGAGCGTTGTTGCTTTGGTGGAAATCAGGAGGCGGGCGAGGGCTAGCCTACATTCTGGATATAAATGTCTTCAGAATTAGGGCATACAGGGCGCCAGTGCTTGCTGATGGGGGTGGAACTGGAGTCCCTGGATCCACCTCCGACCTGGATCCCAGGCCTTCGAAGGCCTGACTCCCCTCCCCAGGGTATTAATCACCTTGAGAGCATAGGGCTCTGCTGCAAAGCCTAGGAACTGACAACCCTAAAAAAAATAAAGCAGGTCAGATTGGGGGATTTTCTTCCAACTGGGGTGGTTGGTGGTGGCTGAGAAAAGGCGGGGTGGACAGGTGCAGCTGTACCTTAGACTTGAGGAATTCTTAGGTAGGTGTCTACAGGGCCTGTGACGGGAGGGCGGTTTCCGAGTCACCGGTTGCGAGAAGCAGCCTATTTAAAGTAGGATCCCTGGGTTCATACCTTAGCTGCATGACACAGTGGTTTTGTGACACTTGGCAAATTATTTACTTGAACCTCCGTAAGCTTCGCGTTTCCTTATCTTTGAAATGAGGGTAATTATAACCTGCGCCTTAGAGAAGGGGCCCGAGGACTCGCAGAAACGATGCTGAGGGTCCGC